AGTTTTTAATAAACTGAACCAAAAGTAGATCCCACTGGCATCACTGAAGTTGGTGCCAGTGGTTTCTATATTACTTGGCAATTTAAAGCAGACTAACCATCATCAGGGTGACAAGGGCCAAAGGCCCGTGAGAAAAGCATTTTTTAAGATGACCAGAATAGTCCGAAGAAAGACTCCCACCTGGACTTCTGCTGTATATATCATGTCCTTATTATATTTTGTCCTTACTATACAAAAATAAAAACCAGCCTTTCATCAGAGAAGGACATTTTATTTTTTACCCCGTAAAGTAGCTTATCCAAATGGCTCATCCAGGAAGAGTAGAGAAACTGAGAAACAAAAATAGGAACTTAACTTCTTAGTAGACACATATAGTAAACGTGACTTCCTCATCTCTACACAGCGAGTCTCCTCACAGGTCTAACTAACCATGACAATATGGTACTGACATACCCCTTTCCTTTTAATGCTGCATTTTAAATTTCTTCATCCAATATTTAGATGGTCCCTGTTATGTGTTGAAGAAAGTGCAAAAGAATTCAGAAGCCATTTCCCTACCATGAAGTTGGTCATACTCTAGTTGAAAGAAAGATTAGTACAATGTATTTTGTGCTCTGGAGGGGGCAAATAGATTCAGACAAATCAGAATAGAAGGGCTTTTGGGGAAGGGAAAAACTTTAAGTGAGTCATGAAGCAAGAATGACATAATAACACATAATAGGAAGAGAATATGTTCTTGACCAGGGAAATAGCATATGAGCTGGCTTTTCAATGGCTCTAAAATGGAAGGTCTGTATGCTATGCTATTGGAAGTCAGGAGCCAAGAAAGAAGACCCTGAGACAGAAATTACATGCAAGGAGGTTACTAGGGAGTGTTATGGGATCTGGGAAGAGGAGGCGGAAGGACTAAGCAGAGGGGAAGTTAAACTGCAGTGCAGTTAGGAAGTGGCCCTGGCCTGTTACAGGCTATGGCTGGATGCTCTGAAGCTGGGATGACCCTTCAGAGGTGGAGTGAGGAGTCTTAGCCCTTATACCTCCACACCAACCAGTCATTGGACCCCAGGATGGGGGAGAAAACTTGGGCTAAATGACTAATTTCAACAATTCCAAGAGTGACCCTAAAATCCCCATATACCACACATCCGTACTTCTCACTAGAGGAGATGACTGGATCAGCTTGCCATCTTTCACCTTGTAATCCTCTGTCTTTCAGAGGTTTGGTTTCTTTGTATCCACAACATAGTTTTTGTCCAATCAGTTGTCAGTGATTTCACTCAACCAGGGGCAAGAGGACCAGAAACCCTTACAGAAAAAACCTTGGTTTGGACCATTTTCTGTAAAAGGCAGTTAATGTTATAGGGTGCACCTGGGATATGACTGTTTCTACATACAGCTTCTTTAAGAAGGAAAAAGACCATTGAATCTGCTGCTGTGAAAAGGTATAGAAAGAAATGATTCTTATCAATTCTCTCCTACGTAGGATGCTTGCCTCTCTGCAGTTATTGTGAGAAAATATGAGATGAGTAACCTCAAGGGGACCGTCTTCATCTGTTTAAAGTCTGCTAAGGCTACCAATAAATAGGGGTGTGGTTTATAATGTGTAGTCACAAACCAGCAGCACCGGAATCATCGAGAAATTGTTCGAAATGCAAATACTCGTGCCCCACCACAGACCATCTGGATCAGAAACATGGGCACTAAGCCAGTCCGTGTGTTCTAACCCGCTCTCAGATGAGTCTGGTGCAGGCTGGAGGCGGGGTTTAATTGACTGCAGGTGACAAGCACCCTATGCCAAATCTCCATAAGGGGCCATAGTTTTTGTTCTTCTTTTAAATTTCAAAATTACAATAAATTAATTTTTCTGGTTCTCAATGATTTCATATTCATGGGGAAAATATTTACTCTCAGAAGTATAAGAGAATGGAAATTCTACTGTGAATATTTTAATGCTTTTCTTTTTTGGATATTTTTATTGCATGTTTTATTTACAGGAAAAATGGTGATACTACATTTCTTTTGTAACCTGTTTATTGATTTGATACTCTATTTAGCCAAGTACATGTAGATGTAACAAGGATAACGCAGATGGCGCAGCCTCTGAGTACAAACGAACTTACCTTCACTCTGAACCCACCCACGTCCTACTACTAGTAGGGAGTCTATTAAAGTATTTCTCTTCCTTAATATCTCTATGTTTAGAACTCTGGTTTTAAAGTTTTAAAAGGGCACATATTTAAAAGCAAGCAATGTTTATTCTGTCTGAAGCAGTTAAGATAGTTCTATAAGCAAGATGTCAACTTAATAAAGCTAAATGTTTGGGAACACATGAGCATGTAAAGTAGTGGTTTTAGCTTTAAAATGAGTGTTATCTGCTATAAGTAAGTTTCCACTTGGCAGCTTCTCCATTCTGTTCTCCTAAATTATTAAGAAAAAAATGTCCATGGGGAGAAAATATCCTTTCCTTAATCCAAGACGATAGCGAGAGTGTGAACTTGAATAAGAAAAGACAGGAGCAAATTATTATCATTAGTGTTATCATTATTTCGCAGTGATACTGTGCGATGTCGGTCAGGTTTTTGGTGTCTAGAACACGGGGCTGGCTTGTGAGTCATGTGGACTTGGGAGGGAACTTTTGCTCTGGCATTTGCTAGCTCTGTGGTTTGCTCTGTTACTTTAAGCAAGTTACTTAATCTTTAATGTCTTCTTCTCCTCACCTGAGAAAAAAACATAATAATGTAACTACCATGCAAGGTTAATTTGAGAATTGAATAACATGTTAAATGAAGTATTTTGTTTTGAAAATTTCCTGCTTAAAGAAAGCAACAACACAAATTCAACAGTCATCAGAAGCAAATGACCTGTGTTTGCAGCTGAGTGTTGGAAAATATTTCTGTTCTTTCCACTTCCCTACTTCCGTGTAAAGGTAAACTTGAAGGCAAATACCCTTGGGGTGAAATATGAAGTTGACAAAGACTTCCTCCTGAGTGCTAGCCTCTGCTCCCTGCCCCCTTCACTAGTGCAGGGGACCCTGCCTCACTCTCAGGGTCCTATTTGCTTCCTCCTCCTCCCTTTTAAGCCAAATCTGGAAGCATCAGCCAAGAGCTACTACACTTACTCAATTACACTAGTTAAACCGAAATGGAATATATTTTGTTCCCCAGCAAGTTTTACATTCAGTGACAACTTTTATCTCGAATTATACAATGAATCCGAAGCAGAACATGGCGAAGTAGTAGAACTAGCTCCAGATTTGGGGGCCATGGCTCTGTTTCTTACGATACACTGGGCAAAAGTCACTATGACTGTGCAAAGTCCTCAAGGCTCGGTGAACGTCAGTTTCTCTGGCCCCACGTTTGTTCCATAATGATTTCTGGGAGCTGCTGGCCAGGGAGATGGACTCCTTCAGCGCCGGCCCCTCCCTGGAACAGGGACCTCTCCCTCTGATTGGTGCTCTTCTGTCCCACCAGCCCTCCTCCTTCCCGAAACCCCAACCAGGGGCAGGCTGGCTCAGTCCTGTTTCTTCCAGCTTGCACCCAGCACTTCCTTTCCCCAAGACTCCATCCATATTTCTGATAACTAGGACTTGTTAGGTACATTTCAATTTCTTATGTTAGTTGGTAAAATTCACATAAGAAAAATTAAAATATAGAAACATGCTGTACATCCTCTCCCACCCTGTCTCCCTCCCTTCGTCTTTCCTCCCCTCCCCCCCCAATACAAGTAATCATTGTAATTTATTTCTTATACATTCTTTATTCATACACAAGTAAGGTCAAATATAAAATTTATTTTTCATTGTAATCTCAAATGTAGCATTTTATACACACTTCTGCATCTTGCCTATATTTTTTACTCTTTTACTTTATTTTTGACTTTTTTACAGAAAGAGCAACCCTCTTTGCTTGACTACATATTATCAAGCAAAGAGGGTTGCTCTATTTAGAAGAATTTAGGTGGTTTCCTATGTTTTGATATTATAAGTAATGCTGCAATGAATAATTTTATATGTAAATCATTTCACACATGTACAAGTGTTTTTATAGGATATATTTCCAGACCTGGAATTGATGGATCACAGACTACATGCATCTGGAGTTTTGATAGGTATCACCAAATGCCTCTACAGTGATCAGATCAATTTCCAGTGCTCTGGACAAATTTAAGTGCATTCCTCCCCAAAGTCTCTGCAAGAATGTTGTGTGTGTGTGTGTGTGTGTGTGTGTGTGTGTGTGTTTATTAATTAAGGTATTACAAATGTGTCTTTATTCCCCCATTGTCCCCCCCCCCCATCCCTCCAGTCCTGCCCTCACCCTCACCCCCTGTTGTCTGCATCCATCGCTTTGTGTGTGCGTTTTTGTTTTTTATTGAACTTTTGGCTTTTACCTACCTGGTAGGTTATGAATGTCATGTTATTCACTTTTAATTTGTACTTTCATCATTATGAGTGAGGTCGAACCTCTTTTCATGTTTTTTTTTTCCTCTGCAAGCTGTGTGTTCATATATTTCAGTTATATTTCTATTGTGTCACCTGTAACAATTACTCAGTGTATAATGATATTTTCAATCATAGTAATGTAAATTATTCCTAGTATTTCTCATTTTTTTTCTATCAATTTCTGGCAAATAAGAAAAATCATTGGAATAATGTTCTATGTCTAGACAAGTATGAGTACAGTAGAAACATATTTCATTGTATATACCAAGCCAACTTTTATGAAGAACCAATTATGAAATCTTAATGAATCTATTTCCACTCATAAAAATTTAAGATGGATAGAAAAAATAAAGTGACATTACAAAATAAAAAAAAACAATCGTCAACATCCATAATCTTAAGGTACAGATAAATATATATGTGGATACACAAAACCAATACTATGCTACCATTTCATGACAAAAAGAAATAATAAATGGCTGGAGAAGCCCTCCCACCCCCACCCCCCCATCCTAACCTACCCTCTTGCTTTTAAAGCCTGCAGTTGCTGCTGGCTCCACATGATTCAAGGGTCTATTTCTTGTTGGCTCAGTTTTCCTGTGAGTGGGAACACAAAGAGTAGACACCGGTTGACTTCCACCTGGACAATGGTCCAGGCACAGCTGCTGTGTTCCTGGTTTTCCAGGTAATCCCGGATCCTTCGGAAGTACATTTTAACCTGCAACCTAAGCTTCTCACGACCTACAGTGCTACTTTTCTGATCTGTTTGCAGTCCCATGAGCGTTTCTAGGTATTCTAGCTGTTGATGCAGCTCAATGAGGAACTTCTCCATGTGGCTCTCCTTCCAACCTTCCAGAGAAGTATTTGCCTGAAAGAGGCTGAAGATCTGCTGAAGCATCTCATGTAGAATGGTCAGTGCGTATCCTTTCTCGTCCTGGTGAGGATTGCCAGCCTCCTGGGGGAGCAGGAAGTCCTTCCTGTGTGGCAGACACTGAAGAATGGATGAGGGTTGCCATTTTTTCAAGAGTTCTGAACTTTCTCTGTTCACTCTTTTCTGTTGGAAGAGAACGAGTTTCAGTTCTAGGGAGAGGATAGTGGAAGAGGTCAGCAGCACCAACACACTCTCACGGAAGTGCTTGTTAATCATGGTGAAGGTCAAATATGTTGCTTGTCTCTCTGCGGACTCAGTAGAGCTCCAACTCCAGTGAAGGTTTGCCTTTTCATGCATCTCAGAGTGTCCCGGGAGGTGTTTTCCGTTGTTGGTTTTGTTTTCTAAAGCTGTCATTTCTCCAAGTTTACACCCAGACTTTTTGGTTCCCTGATCATAGTGTTCAGGGGACATTTCCTCCACTTTCCCCATTGTGTTGGCTGTTTGAGGAAGTAACCAAAAGAACCTGTTTCATTGTATACTTTCCTTGAGACAATTGCTGACTAGTCATCCAGTAAGACCTTCTAATACTCTCATTATTTACTACATACCAAGTTTCACTCAACACAATGTGCTTTCTAAATATTTAGTTAAGCGTATTAAACTTCTTTTACTGAGAGTAATATTTTTAAAGGTCCAGAGTGCTATTTATCAGAGGCTTAGCAGCATCTATATATGGCATATGGGAGCAAAAATTAAAATCCACGCAGACTACTAGATTTAAAACCTCAAGTAGAAATAAAAATTTGCACCAATGCTTGAGAGAAAATTAATCTTAAAATATGTTCCAGCAATCGTAAGTCGTTTTATATCTTATCCAAGCAGTTTAATATCTAAGACTCTAGTCCAGGGGTGGGCAACCCCTGGCACACGTGCCAAACGTGGCACGCCAGTAACTTTTGCTGGCACGCGAAACCCTCTCTTATAATCTTCCATTTGCAATTTTTTTCTTAATATCGACTTTTTTATTTTTCAGATAAATTCAGTGTAGGTGCATCTTAGATAAATAAATAATTTTACATAACAAGTTATCTTAAAGACCATAGACATGGATTGACGAGAGAGGGGAAGAGCAATTTCTATGCCTCTGCCTTAACTCTCCCTGCCTTCCTAGATCCGACCAGTGTTTTGGTTTCATCCACATACACTTGTGAATCTTTGTTCTCAGTGATGAATTTTGTTAAGTCTCATAATAGGAGTAGCCTGACGGATGAAAGTAGTAGCTCGTGCATATCTCTGAAGGTCACGAAATATAAACCTGATGTAAAATCTCTGTCATCAGTGATGCAGCAGCAAAAGTCCCACTGATAATATCAAACGGAGTCATAAAGTTTTCTGTCGGACTATCAGTGTACATGTATACATTAAAAAATAAATGTATTTTTCATCATCATATACTGTGTTTTTGTCGCTCGAATGAATTTTATTATTTCTTCAAGGTTCTTCACATACGTACACCTTAAGAGATATCAAGTAGGCGTAACATGTTCTCAAAAAATTAGGGTTGGCACGCAGAAGAATTTTGAGTCAGAGATTTTGCTGGTTTTGGCACGCACTCACAAAAAGGTTGCCCACCCATGGCCTAAAGGTATGCAGTGGAATGAGAGGCAAGAGGAGAGTTGGCCAGCAGCACATGAATCAGGCCTGGGGGCCCACAGAGGAAGGCGGCCCACTCCTTATCCTGGTGCTGGCGACCTCCTCCGCCCACCACCCAGAAGGTAGGGAAGAAACCCGGGCTGGGCTGGGTGGTTTCTGAATTCCAGCTGTCAGTCTCCCTAGATAAAGTGGGGCCTGGTCAGAGGGTGGATGATCCTGAGGGGTTCATCAGCCCCAGCTCTCCCCCTCCATGAACACCCAGTCCAAGGAAAAGCAATGGGACCATTGAGCAAATGAAACTTCAAGGCCAGTCCTGACTCCATGTCAACTTGTTATGGGCAGAAATAGAATACTGGGGACTAGCCATAGTTATAAGAAATATTAATCATGCTTTGTTAACTTTGATTGTGAAACCGGACAATCACAGTAACTCTCTGTGCTGCCGGTCACTGCTTGAGCCAATTAAGCAGAGACAGCAGTATGGGAGAGTAGCAGGTCATTCATG